TAATGCACTGTAGCTGTTACCTTTAAAGATAAAGCTCCAATCCTCTAATTCATTACATGCTGTGTCTTTGCAAGCATGTAATGAATCTCTAATGACATCATCCTTGCATGTCCTTGTACACTTTCCTGGATTGTGTTGGTGTGTGTGAGAGTGTGAGCTGAATGTGAGTGTGAACCTGTGAACATTTACACTCTGCAGAATGTGGATGCATTTACACATACGAAAATAAACCGAGAAATTCTGCACATAGACAATCTTCATTTTGTATATTTTGGGAGTCACAAAAATCTGTATTCGTCTCTCCTTGTACTTTGTATTCTATTCACATATAATCATCCAGCAGGATAAGGCTTAGTGAGAAAGTCTATTCAGAAATAAGCTAAGCTTTAGTCATCCATTCCTTCTCCTCCCCATCCCTGTCAGCAACACAACACAGAAATAGCACCGAAATAAGCTAAATTCTCGTTTTCACAGAAGACACAACGGGCCCCCTGTAGACAGAATTTCACAAGTGATGATTCATTAAACTCTGCCTTGTATGTGTGAAGCAAGCACCAGCTCACCATGCACAGCAGAGGGATTACCATCACAGAGAACAGTGAGGCAGAACTGGGAAATATCCAGAAATAGTACCCTCCAGTTGCTCTGCACTTTGAGCGCATCAAAAACAGACACTCCTTGTCAACAATCTTTGCTTCCCTCACTGCAGTTTCAAATAGCTCCAAACTGTATTAAATGAAGTGTTATCCCTGCAGTTATTCCCATGTGTTTTATTGCTTTCGCACAAATATTTGTATCATGTGTGTCTATCTCTTCCTCCTCTCTTCTCCCTCCCCTCCATCAACCCTTCCACCTTAATAATACAGAGTTAATGAGGGCAGGGTGAAGTGATCAATCCCATCTCCATCCTTACAGACGGCACATTAGCAAACTACATCTGCCCAAATAATCCCTCCTCTCTTCCCCTCTGCCTCTCTCTCCCACTTCTCTCCCACATACACACAGTTGGACCCCAGGGGGAATCACTCTGTATCGCCAGGGGGAACTGTAACAGGATTTCTCCAGGATCTGGGGTTAGAGTGGGTGGTCATACCTAACTGAATAAGCAGAATGATATAATTGGATCATCTGCAATAAAGGATGATTTATTTTCCGTATTGAAATGGTATTTGCGACCTGCTATGAAATTGTCGGGAAAGCAAAAGATGCTGATAACAGGATTTATTAGCCGAGGCTAAATGAAAAATGAAGCCACGTGTTCACACATCCATCAATGCATGTTCACACGCAATGATGTTATTCACACTGTGGACAAGATGACAAACTGCATTAAAAAAGGAAATAAAGTAACCCCAAAGAACATTCAAAACTAACAAGATTGATTTCCGATGTGAGCTCAATGAATGCACTTGCTTGTGTGTCTGCAAAGTTACACATGGCTATCCTACTCACACTCAGGCCGAGACTATTGCTGCAGCAGGAGCAGAGACAAAGAGACAGCTTCTCACTGGGAGAAAACGTGTCTTGCAGAAGCACACTTGGAAGAATCTCCTAAATTATAATTTTCTTTTAGCATTGCTTTTAGCACTTGGAAATGAATCTCCACTAAATCAGACATGGTCCTGCATTTCCTTTCTGGTTTTGCTCTGCCAAGCAGCCTGTGAGAATGGATGTAAGTTCAGATGGATAAAGGGAAGACAAATGTGCATGAAATGAGAAGAGAAATGACAATGAGTTGGGAACAATAAGCAAAGAGGAACCGGTAAAAAGATTAGCGTGATAAGAAATACTGTCTGCTGCTGTCTGTGGGAGAGAATTAGAAACCGATACGAGACTTATGAGTTATTGGTTCATTGAGTCCTGCAGTTAAAGCATAGATGCAGACAAGGGTGGCATGGAAGAGAGGAGAGAAAGGGGTGTCCACGCTGTTTGCCGTTTGCACCGCATTGTTATTAGCAAAGCCCCTCCACCCACTACCCTCACTCCTGTCGCAGAGAAAAATATTAACTCTTGCATGGCTGGAGGATGAAACTGTATGAGGGGACAAAGAGGAGAGGGAAGGTGTTCACTTCAAATGCAAAGCAGTTGCAGCAAAAAACATTCTGCAATAGTAGAATTCTCTGTGGGACTGTGAGGAAGTTTACACACACGCAGACGTACACAGTCAGATATACAGCTGGCGAGATGAGGCAGCCCAGACAAAGAGCGGCAACTTAGACTGGCTGAGTCACTTCTGTTTATTTTGAGAAAATGCGTAACAAATGAAGCTGCAGAGAGCCATGGGAAGGGGTTGGGGGGTGATATAGGGTCGAGGGGGATCTATTTTGTATTGCAATGTGTGAGAGTGTGTATGCATGTGTAATGTGCAAGTGGCAAACCCCAGGGGTGTGGGGGAGGGAAAACTGGCAACGGATCAGTGAGAGGTGAGCGGAGAATAGAGCGAGCTGAGGGTTTTTGAGGTGGTAGCGATGTGCAAAAGAAAGAATATGGAAAGGGTTTGAAGCGGCTGTGTGTGGGTAAGAAATTGACTGTTTTCATACATTGGACAAAGAAAGGTGAGAGAGTGCAGGACGGGGCAAAGAACTCAGGATGGCTGCTCTGAAAGATACGTTTATCTTTGGGAACACGGAAGAGGTTTCAAAAATAATGTACTGTCTGGTAAAGTATCGTAAAAAAGAAATGACTGTGGCTTTTCTGATGTCAAGTTAAGTACAGCACTTACTGCTATAGTTTTTCCTGATGAACAAATGAAACTGCTGCACACATCCAGTCAAGCTTCATTTATAGCATTGGTTTCATTAATAAGGGTGGTATCTTGCTGACTACTGTTATTTAAATACACCAAAATACATTTGCACTTCCCTTAAACTGAGTGTATAAAGTCAGCAAATTGACGCACATGTATACACACACAAGTGAAAAGGGTATTGTGTGTGTGATCAGTGGAGGCGTGCCTCTGCTCAGCCTCTGATGTCCTGCCTGTGACTGCAGGGGAGGAGCTACAACAAGCTCATTGCCACCTCACAGACAAAGGCAGCGAGAATTTGAAAATGTGTGTTTGCACGTGTGTTGAGATCTACACACACACATGCACCATTCTTCTACTGAGCAAAGAGATGCCTCTAAACTGTTTCAATTATGAGTTGTCACAACACAGGTGAGAGGAATAACTGCAGCCTCATCTTTCTGTCATTCTGTCTTTTGAGGAACCAATGTAGTATCAATTTGCACACCACTTGTGTATGAATAAAGGAGAACGAATACATACAACGCATCACATACATTAGAGAGGCTACTTTCCTCCTGTTTCTCCTTCACTTATCATCTCAGTTTTCTCCCTCCCTCATCCTTCCTCTCCTCCGTTTTGTCCTATAAAATGACCTTGAGGCTACACTCATGGGCTTTGTGACAAATGGTCTCACCTGCAGGAACACTCGCACATACATAAGCACCTGAGCCCGAGAACTACAACAAAACACGCACACACTCATATACACACTACTGCGAGTGGTTTTCCTGGCAGAGATTTGCTGAATTGATCGCCGTTCAGACTCTGCAGAGGTCAGATGTGATGAATCAATCACACATGCATCAGCATCTAACAGCAGCTACAGCCGAGGCTCTGCTGCCCTACTTTGATGCAGCGTCAAACTCCGCATCAACATGACTGGGAGGGAATGGCAAGATTTAGCAAGATGGACTGGATGACCCATAGATGTGGGAAGTCTGTGATACCCGGATCGATATTGGCAGCAGACAATTCCAATAAACACAAAAAAACCACTTATAAAACACATTTTATGGACAGGGTCCATCGACCACTGGGCAGCCAAGCCAAGTGCTAAACTATGTGAACTTATGCAAAGTTAATCAACTAAACAAGTTTAATTTCAGTAAGTGAAGATATGTGATGCGCACTAACAAATACAGGAAAACTGCCCCCCCCCACACACACACACACACACACAGTTTCAAGGACAACCTGATCACCAGACACCAATCAATCAGAACTGGAGACAGCTGAGTGTGGAAGACATGCTGCCTTCATTGTGCTCACCTTAACTTGATCCACCCCTTTCTGTCTTTCTATCCTCCCCTGCTTCTAAGTAGCCTAAAGGTGAGGCTGAGGACATGAGTATTGTTAATAAAGTAGCTAAAGCACATACACATACTGTGCATTTGGCTTTGCACATGAGTTATGCGAAGATAAATGTGGAATAATAAGGTGAAGTGAGGAAACGGGAAGATTAAGAATGGAGGAATTTGACAAAATAAAACCAATATCTGTGCAAAAAAAGTCCTTGATGAGTTAGAGAGCCTTTTCCTCATTCTCTACACTGCTCTTTAAAAACACTTCCATTAAATGGCTATGTCAGCATAACAGCACTTCAACACAGCTATAAAACAATTGGCAACCCTAGCATGTCATCATTTAAGATGTGTTTGTCTTGATGCTGGAAATTAAAATACAAATTGGTGACCACAAATAACTAACACATTAATAATAATAATAATAATAATATAAATGAAAAAAAATGTACATTGTAAATTATTTAGTTTGTCTCAGTACAGTGGATCATGGCCAGGTTAGGTCTAAAGCCTGGATAATCTACGTGTGATCATTAGCTTCACCCGCAGAGACTTGACCTGCTGCATCACAGCAGCTCTTCCCGTCTGACCTCACTCTCTCTCCAGCCACAATATGCTCTGCTCTACTGCTCCACTTACACTGCGATCTGCGGCTCAACTCCAATATTACGGGGTTTCTGTTTGTTTTTCTGTAGAAACACAACCCCCCCTACAAGCTGCACGGCATTGTGCGTGCTCAAAATCAATGCATCAGATTCGTATGTATCTAAACATGCGTATAGCAAACCGAGTCAACACCAAGACCCAAATCATACAATCAAAGTACCTGCGACACTTCTTAAAGAGACCGATGCGGGACTTCGAATAATCAAATACAACAAACCCGAAGTGTTTTCAGTTGTGCGACTTACCTTCAGGTTTCTCTGGTGTTGAATCATCCAAGAATACAGGTCATATGCAGTGGAGTTGCGAAACGAAACACAACGCGTGTGTGTCCACTCTCTCTCTATCTCTCTTTCTGACTCGCAGTGCAAGGAGAGAGAGAGAGAGAGAGAGATCTTGCGGACAGCAGGAAGAGGAGGAGGAGCGGTGCTGATGCTGCAGCCGACACCTGGCAGAGCATCCTGCTGCTCCTCTGTCTCTCTGTCTATCTGTCAACACATTTGCGCTCTCTGCTGGATCATGTGAGAAGTAGCCTATTATGAAAAGTCTGTTCCTGGATTTCAGAATAAAAAGCCACCTAAGGTAGCAGCCTGTAGGTTGAAAAGCTTGATTTATTATAATATATATATAGGCATGAAGCAAAAAAAGACAAAAAAGGGAAACAAAGAGTGGACACAAGCTAAAATAATGTGTCTTTACTTTATGAGTAAATGCCTACTATTAAGCCAACATGTTGACATTGGTAACAATTGAAAATAAGTATATTGGGTTTTTATGTACAGTTATAAAGCCACAAAAAGCTTTTAACAACCAAGAAAAAATAGGAAATAAAGTCTTAGAAAGTGATGAAATTATAGTAAAAGATAAAGCAAGCATGTCATCAACATTTGGATTTGAAACATCAATAATAATAATAATAATATTGGGAGGGATGAAACCCTCTTTAATGGTCACACATGCAGAGCATACAGCACACACAGTGACATGTGTTCTCTGCTTTGAACCCATATAGTACCAGGAGTCTAGTACTAGGAGCAGTGGGCAGCTATTGCACAGCCCCATTATGTGACACACGTTATGTAAAAGGAAGCTATAGGTCAGTTGGGGTTTAAAGCCGCATCATAGGAGAAATAAATAAGCTCCTACTTTTTTTTCACATCTGACTTTAACATTAAAACTGAAGTTTGACGTTATGTAAAGGAAGAAAGTAGCCACTGTTTATACACATCCATTTGTATATTTACACCTAACAAGGCACATTTAAGTTGAAACTTAAATCAGAGGCTATGTAATTATGTGCGGAAATAGTTATTTGAAGAAAATAATATGGTAAATGAGATTACAAGTAAGTAAATGAAGACATATTACCAAAACAAATGCTCAATTCAGTATATTTGGGTTCAGAAAAGGTCCTACTATTAAAAGTAAAGACATGGCAGCCCACTATAACCCCACATAAATGCATTCTGCCACATCATGCTAATATGCCATATGTATAGTCTCATCACAGCACTCTTTTGCTATAAAGGCACCAATGGATAAAGTGAGGACAAAGGAAGGTGAAGACAGACCCTGAGGAAACAAGGTTTCAGTTGCACTGACCTTGTGAACACAATATAAGCAAAACAACAGATAGGGCAAAACAGATTATAAACCTCTTCTATTTTACAAATAATTTACTGCAAGAAATATAAACAAAATCAAATATAAACTTGGTGTACGTGTTTCTTCATAGACAGACAGCTAATTTGTAGTAAAGGACCCCCAGAACCCCAATATATTCACCTAAAGGTTCAAACTAAATGTGAAAATGATACAAGTGCACACAGTCTGATAGATGTGATGTCACTTCAGACTACAAGTTGGAAATATAAATAAATTAAATTAAATTGGGGCAACATGGAGTCACATAAAGTGAGTTTACAGTACAATAATTCGAAGCTAGCTGCTCATCACTGTTTGAAGCCAGAAGCTATAAGCTCAAGGGTATGTTAGACACTTAGCAAAACAAACTACAACTGAACTGTTGGAAGTTGAATTGCATTGTGGGCAATGTAGGCATGAGAGAGCCTTGATAAATCTATGGATTAATCGTGTATGTCTATAAAGAGAAAAACATTATTGCTAACACAAAGTTTATGTTGATAAATGTACAAGTGTAGAAAGTACCTGATCAAAGTATTCCTATCAATGTGAAACAGATTTGTGATCTGAAAAGCACAATGAAAATGACCGCTGGGAATAAAAAGACATTCATAAACATCAGAAAAGGCGTGAAATCAGAGAACACTTCCAAATTGGACATTTTAAGAAAAAAAAGTTGCACTGCTTTATTTTTGAAAAGAGAAGTTCAATGTTACAAGCTACAGATGCAAAGTTACACAGCAGCCAGCACTGTGAATACACGCTTTTATCTAATGTCACATTACAAGAACTGACATTCAGCAACTGTCAATGTCTTCACCTGATGCTCAACATGTATCAGGATTCCATTCATTTACAAGGGTACTGAATATCTCAAAGAAGAGAGCATATTCTAACAACTGTCATTATTAATTTGATGGTGTTTAATCAGATAGCAGGTACACGATTTGTAGTCCCATGATCCTGTGAGGGTTTGGATGGAATTACTTGTCTCACAATAAGGAACCGTCCAACAGGATGTGTTGTTGAATGTCTTGTACAGCCTTTTCTGCATCATTATTTGCAGATCCATGGCATATTATTGATGTTGCTTGTTTCTTGCAAATACATATGCCTGTATTTGAGCCATATTGTAGAACCACAGTAGGATGCAAGTAGGGCTGAGCATTAACTCAATAAGATCATTTATCGTCTTTCAAAGGAAGCGTAAAGTCATCAAATAATTTATATTGAAATATTGTGATACACAATGAATCAGTCTAAATTGAAAATAACAGCTCTTACTATAACATTTACAAAGAAGCATACAACAATAGGCCAGAAAACATGCTACATCGTGAAATAAAGAGATATAGATATTTAATGACCTTTATCATGACAGAAGACTTCGGCCATATTGCCCAGCCCCAAACGCCGACCTTTCCCTTTTGCAAGTGAAAGCCTGGGCCCTCAGACGGCATCAATGCAATCCTTCTGACCTAAAATTGGACTTTTGGAAACTGTAAGCTTCATCTTCCTGCTGGATCACTTAAACTGTTTGTGCAGCCAAATGCCAGACCACCCTTTGCTTCTGTTGAACAGGGGTAATAACATCATTGACAAATGTGTTGCAGTGTATTTTGCAAGCTTTCTTTTGTTGTCAGAGATGGCTGGAAGAGCAGCGATTCAACAGTCAGTAACATTTAAAGAGCGCTATCAGGTTTTTGAAAATATAGCATTTGGTACCAAGCTGTATTTAATACTGACTGTGAATTATGTAGATGGTGGAGTAATTATTATATAAGAAAGAAAAACAAAACGTTTATTACTGTTAAACCTTCTGGCACCCATATGAAAGCTGCATCACATCGTCCTCCTGCCAACAATGTAAGCCCGATCCATGAGACACTAAAATGTTCCTCATCCAACATGAGCCCTCCCCCTCAAACAGCCAAGCTATAACCACCAGTTAAAGCTCAAGGCCATGCAAAAAGGGTAACAAGACTATTCAAAAATACCAAATAATACATGTCACATTATGGCTTAAGGAGCGTCAAGGTGGCAGTTGTCTGAATCTTTACCCAGTAGTCTCGGCGAAGGTCACAGGTGTGTGAATTTTAGGTCAATGTTATTTATCATTGCTTTCACAAAAAGGAAGTAATGACAGGGAGTCGTCTAGTCCAAAAGACTCTTATGCAGACAGACTTGCGTTGGGGGAGTTTGAAATCTAAACAGCATGTTAAAATGCTTTCCTACAAATCTCCATCGTCCTCTTCCTCGCCATCAATACCACTGTTCAGGAAGGCCTCTTTTTCATGGGACCTGGCCTGTGGATCATTGTTGCCTTTGAAACCGTTCAACTCGGTGCCTGGAGACAAGCGGGACAATTTTCCCTCAACGCTGTGATGAATGCCGTACGAGAAGTAGATCACGAAACCTACGAATACAAAGCCATGAAGAACAGGTTCAGTACAGTTACAGCTTGCAACTGTGTTCAAATAAAATGACGACATAAGGCTGACTCTTTTTGGCTTGACCTTTTCAAGCTACTAAAGGAAATAAAGTTACGGGTAATCAGTCAGAGTGTATGAGACGGATGATGCTTTATCCAGCCATCTTATCTTCCAAATGATAGTGATATCACAATTATACACTATACAGTTGCAAGAAAAAGTATGTGAACCCTTTGGATTCTCCACACATAGCGTTGTGTGTTCCTTCCAAACAACTCAACTTTGGTTTCATCTGTCCACAGAATATGTTGCCAGTAGTGCTGTGGAACATCCAGGTGCTCTTTTGCAAACTTCAAACGTGCAGCAATGTTTTTTCTGGACAGCAGTGGCTTCCTCCGTGGTGTCCTCCCATGAACTCCATTCTTGTTCAGTGTTTTACGTATCGTAGATTCATCACCAGAGTTGTTAGCATGTGCCAGAGATTTCTTTAAGTCTCTAGCTGACACTCTAGGAATCTTCTTCACCTCATTGAGCATTCTGCGCTGTGCTCTTGCAGTCATCTTTACAGGACGGCCACTCCTAGGGAGCGTAGCAACAGTGCTGACCTTTCTCCATGTATAGACAATTTGTCTTGGACTGATGAACATCAAGGCTTTTAGCGATACCTTTCTAACCCTTTCCAGCTTTATGCAAGTCAACAATTCTTAATCGTAGGTCTTCTGAGAGCTCTTTTGTGCGAGGCATGGTTCACATCTGGCAATGCTTCTTAAGAATAGCAAATTCAAAACTGGTGTGTATTTTTTATAGGGCAGGGCAGCTTTAACAAACACCTCCAATCTCGTCTCATTGATGGACTCCAGGTTGGCTGACTCCTGACTCCAATTAGCTCTTGAAGAAGTCTTTAGCCTAGGGGTTCACTTACTTTTCCCACCCTGCACTGTGAATGTTTACATGGTGTGTTCAATAAAAACATGAAAACATATCATTGTTTGTGTGGTATTAGTTTAAGCAGACTGTGTTTGTCTATTGTTGTGACTTAGATGAAGATCAGAACACATTTTATGACCAACTTATGCAGAAATCCAGGTAATTCCAAAGGGTTCACATACAGTACTTTTTCTTGCCACTGTATATAGGTAGAAAGTGGTGACAGGGCATGACAGTGATTCCCAGGCTGCACTGATGGTGCAGGGATAAACAAAGCACAGATACAAGAGACCAGAAACACTGACCAATCACAGCAGACTGAGTTTTTCTGGGATGGGCTCAAAGAGAACAAATACCAGTACATTTTTACAGACGGTCTGAATTATATTTAG